GCCTATCGTAGTTGTTGGCTTGAACGCTCGACTTTAAAATACATTGTGTTTAAAACGGCGTGTGCGCTGTGAGACACACATGACGAAAGTATCGTGAAACAAAACTTTACTGCACTGTTTTCAACAACGTGCAATTGTGCGTTAAAAGAGTTCACCGATACTGCGCACTTTACCGCGCGTACTTCAAACCGAACCTATAATACAGCGCCGCGAAATGTGTTATTACGCGGTTCTCCAAAGTTTTTTTTGATGCTCCAGTATTGCAATAATTAGTAATAATTAAAATTTTACAGTATATATACATATTGAAAAACAAGAGTTACATACATACATCGTATAAAAAAAAGAAAAAATAATTTTAAATAAAACTTCCGCTAACACACATCCCACTTATCTCGCACACAATCTCCATTATAATAATTTTTAAACTGACAATGACGGAATTACGCGCGCCGAAGCGACAAAGGACGCGTAATTGTAACAAAAGAACGGAAGAAACGTGAAAATTAAAATTATACACTCGAGCGCGCGCCTGTTCAAGTCACCTTCAACAGCGAGGACGTAAAAGGCACGGGCGATTATTTTTCATACTGTCGAGCTTTATAATAGTTGTAGAGATAAGATAGTTTTTGTGATCATTAATTAAAGCCAAGATGAGATAAAATTTTACGGCAATGCATTGTTCTGAGCGCGTCGTCGACGCGCGGGACATAATAAATCGCGAGTATAATAAATCAAAATTTATTAGTTTGCTACGGACCGTTATTTCTCCTTTGAGTAGAAAAAAAAAAAAAAAACGAAATCGAGACTTCGTATCGCATACACGGGAGGATTAACAGGAAGGCGATGTAACGATCGATCACGGTAGATCGAGCACTCGGAATGTTCGTTTTTGAGAAACGAACGGCAGAAATGCACGCGCCGATATATATACGTGATATATCGATCAATCCGATCGGACGCGTACGAGTTGCCTGTAGGCTTCACGCACCGCGACACCGTAGTAAGATTTTTCCATTTTTATCATGGTGGTTTTCGCCGAGGTGTCGATAGACAGCGAAAAAAAAAAGGATCTTTATCGCACATACATTTCACCGGCCTAGCGATAATATAATTGACCGCTCGCCATTTGCGAACACACGTATACGGAGGACGCACGTATTACGAATTTCGAAATCGCGCGATTTATCGAACGGACTTCATTTATTTCCCTCAGCGAGCTAACGAGGGAGCTATCGCCGAGTCCTTGAACGATAATCGGTATTAATTGGCAAACCGCGTACGATACCGCAGATCTCTCTTTCGCATTACTTAGCTGTTTCGTTTAATATACTGTTACTTGTATCGGCGAGATAAAAAATAAATAATATCCACAGCGATGACTGTGTGTTCATGTTTTTTTTTTCTTTTTTTTTTTTTCTTTTTTCCGTCTCGAGATGCAAATCTGAGTTTCGATAAAAGCGCGCGATATCGGGACAAGAACCGCGCGGGTTCCAAAACCCCGTTCCCGAATAACAGCAATAAACGCTCAATGTTTTGCAATATTTAACAGACGTTATCGACTTTACGTGTCACGTATGATTGATACTCAACTATTCATTAGTAGTCTATAAATATTAGATACCGGTGCGCAACGTTTACGGATACACCTTGTAAAATATAAAAGACCAAGTTTCGCAAGCCTCGGTGAAAAATGCGATTGCTGTACCGTGATTAAGTTCAACCGTAATAAATTGCCTATTTCTAATTAAGTGTAAATTGAAAAAATGTTGCCACAATATATATTTTTTTAATGCAAAATCTTTTCAAAGTTTAAAAAAAAAAACAATTCAAATTTACCGCAGCATCAAAGCAGATTAAAGAAGCGACTGCATTTAAGATGTGTACTCGTGTAAGATGTGCGGCAATTTAGAACGATCCGTAAGTTTCATCAGAGCCTACCCACGATCCCGTTGTGTGTGCACCGTGTGTTCTCCCCCTCTGATGGCGGTAAATGTTGGTAAACGAGCGGCAGTAACCGCGAAATCATGCGCGTTTTCTCGTCGAGATAATTAATAACGCAGAGCTCGGTCTGATGGCATGAACGTCTGTGGCTACAGCAAGTGCGAATGTAATTAACCGAGTTCCGATCGCGCATAAAAAGTTAGTTAGTATGTATTTTGAGATCTGAGCGTGTCTCGTACAAGTCATTTATCGATCTACTATGTACTGCCTTCGCGCAAAGACTCCGACTCGCATCGAGGAAACAAGTTCCTGAATCGGCGTAAATGTCTTAATGATCGCAACAAGTATCTCTTAGTTGGAAATTTATTCAAGAAATAATTACGATCAAGTATATTTGTACAAAGTATCTAAAACTTTTTGACAAAATTGTGAAAGTAGATTAGATCACGTTGAACCAAAAAGTTACGTACTACTTTGCAATATTTATTTGCAATTTATTGCAATATTTATTTTGCAATAGTTATTAATTAATTACATAATTCGTCTCTCACGCGCTTACTGGTTTAATTGGCACGTCGGTCTCGTCAAAAAGTTACTACGTGTAAAGTCAGAAACTAATAATTAAAAACTACTTGAAACATTGAGAACTGTTATAATTAATATTGGCACGTCTAATAATTATTTCCTCAACAAATGTCACTGCTCCACATCCGGTCGTTTATCTCGCAAACTTTTTACTTACAGTGAAAACGCGCAGTGCGTGTAAGAAAGAGGAAGTTCCTGAACGCGAGCTACTTGTTTTGATTTTCCCGTTAATTAAGATCAGGGTCAAGTACTTTGACACACGTTGCGAAAGACAGCACACGATGCAAGAAATATAATTAAAAGGAAAAACGTTGGAACGAGAGAGCGATGGTGTGTCGACATTTCCCTTAGCGTGGCTAATTATTGAGGATGTTTGCACCACCCGAGATTAATGTGTCATGCGCGAACTCGCGTATAGTCCCTCTCGCCGAGAGACATTATTGGCTCGAGGGAAAGGAGGCGAAAAACGCTGGTTTAATTAAATCAGCATCCGTAATTAGAAATACCACTTGGCGCGCGCGTGATTAGTATCGCGGTTTTCCGTTTTCTTCGACGTTATCTCACTTTCGACGTCTCCGAAACGCGTAATGAGGGAACGCAAATTGAGACGTGCAAGTATCTAATGATAAATAACGTGCCGTTACAACCTCTCTCGTAACTTTGACGAAAATCACTTGGAGATCTGTCTTCTCACAGATTCTGAAATGATTAACGAACTCGGAAACAAAATCTGCCCGAACCTCGGCATAACGATGTTTGCTAAATCGCGAGAGAACCGGTTCGTATGTTCGGGATGAAATACATTTTCGACGCTTCCTCCCTATTTTAACATGTCGCTCGGTCTGTGCGTAATTTTCATAATATTGCGCTTTCTAACAATCACCAATATTATCGCGATATGAGGTCGCTCGTTAATGCACACGCACACCAACGTCTGTTCTACGACGTTGATGCACGATTCTGAAAGTGACTCCGGGTACGTCAAAACTCTCGAGAGTTAGATTGGCGTCCTCCGCGCGTTAGCTAATGCAAAATGCATACAACTCGGGAAGATTGTCGAAGCTTTCGAAACGCGCGAATTATATGTCCAGTGACCAAGGATAATGATCTCGAGCGCAATAATGATTCATCTAGACAGCGACTGACCGGCAAGGTGCAGCGGATAATGAATCAAACCGCACGTTATTCCGCGACTAACTCTGTATGAAACGAGAACGTTCCTCAAAGAAAAAAAATCCACTCGATCAGCCTACGTTTCTTCAACGTGAGAAACGTTGGACATTGACCTAGGCTTGAGAGAAATATAATAAGGTCGATTAAAAAATCCATGCGCTGGACGTACGTGACTATTTTTTTAAATGTAACTATATCTTAAAAGTAATTTTAAAATTCAAAAACCTACACCAAGTTGTTTTTTGCGATGATTTTTTCAAATAAAATTCACAGGAAGATGAAGAGATTATTTTCAGTACGAGATGCGAATCGCGCGAATTCGATAGTTCTTCAAAATATAAAATTAATTCGAATTACAAATGTGTGTATCTCTTAAAACTATTTCGTTCGTGGCTTTTTTATTGGCTTTTATTATTGCTCTTATAGTTCGACACTAATGGAGCTACGTGTGATTAGTCGATCGATCTAAGTTGTTACTAGCAGCGACAGACAACAAGTATAATATCTCGTAAATGAGCTTCGGCTTCTCCATCAATTGCAAATTTGTTTCTTTCCAACTGGACTTTTTGCGTGTAATTTAAATGCCACTGTGCGTCGTTTGTTGTTCGCATTGAGAATAATATTTCATATACAGACCTTATTTCTTACAAAGATGTGTGACGTACGTTGAATAAAAGTCCTTCGCGTTGCTTTCTCACACAAGTATCGCTCTCACAGATAAGAATAATGATGACTCATACAATAATTAAAAAGAAAACTCGCAAAAATCTTCGTTTATCGACCTTTCATCGTACGTTTCTCGGTTACACCGACAATTAATCATGGAAACGGTCTGCAATAATGACTGGTTGCTTTGATAATGACCGACGTTGCAAGCCGAGACTGTATGATTTTCGACTCATCCTGCATGCAGTCGATAGCGCGGAACGCGCCTGTAATTCTGGATTCTTCATCGGTAATCAAATGCGCGTTAAATAGTGCAAAGTGTCTTATCTGTTGATAATTAGATTCAACATGTATTTACTCTCTAATTCTGAACATTTGTTTGAGGCATCCTTAAAGATAAACCGTCTTCGAATATTGAAAATATCTTCTGTAATTTTAATTATTTTTGTCTCCCATCGCTAAAATCCCGTTCGAACACTTCGTAAAACCGAGAACTTTTTTCGATCTTCTGCCTCGTGGACGCGCCACGACACAAGAGTCGTATAGAAGTCCCCCTCTTTCCAGAAGAGGTGCTTTCGCGCGCGCGTATAAAGCCAGTGAAAGCGCCAGACGACCCTCCAGACCACCGCACAGTCCCGACAGCGACAGGAGAACCTCCGCTGTATCGCACGGCGGACATTAGATTATACACCACCTGAGATTCTCTCTCGCGTGAGTTCGCACGCCTAACGGCGGTTTCGAGGAATCAAACTAAACGTGCGCTTTGGTTTTGTTTCGTCGTGTTTCGTCGCGAAACTTTTCGTCGTTCAACTTGTGACAGGAATAGAAATCGTCCGTGAAGATGCGTCTCGCTGGGACTTTGGCTATTTTGCTGCTCGTCGCTACCAAAATGTCGGGACATCCTCCGCAAGAGAGATTAATGCCAGGTATGTAATAATAATTGTGCTTTTGCGTCGTTACTGCGCGCGAAAAAAAAAATATACGTCGACGTCAGACTGAATTCTGATAAACTTACAACGCTCGGTGTGAAAATAACCAACGCGGTTCCAAATCCGAAAACTCTATATTCAGGAATTCTTACACAACACACCGCGAGAACATTAAATATCAAATTATATACTGAGAGAGAAAGAAAGAGAGAAAGAAAAAAAGCAATTGTTGTTCGCATTGTCGTTAAGACATTCTATAATTCTATATAGATGACTTTAAAGTTCATGGTTGAACCTTGCACAATGCGCGGTCGTCCAATGTACAGAGAGAGAGAGAACTCACAATGAGACGTCGGTCGCGATCGCAGACATTATCGCGTTTCCACACGTATCGTTTTTGTATTATCCAACACAGATGTATGTACGTCTTCAACGGAACGGCGGTTTCAATAGCGGATAAATTATCTATTCATACTATTGCTCTTTTTCTAATCCACAAACATAAATATTGTAGTGTTCTTCTTTGTGTTAAAAACTTCTCCGCTTCACGTATGATCCTTCAACATTCTTCTCACGCGCCCTCTTCCGTTCGAAACTTCGACATTTGCTCAATAAACATTGATAAAATGTGCAATTACAACACGTGTCACTCGAACGCATTGAAAAGTCGCATTGAAAAGAAACGGTCTGTACAACGATCGTATGTGTACAAGCACGTGAATTTACCTCGTCATAAACCACGATCACGAGATTCGCTACCTACGCACGCATGTCATCGCCGTCGCTGCAAGCGGTTTGCAAGGACTTCAACTTTGCTGCATTTTTGTCACAGACGCGCTGACGTTAGAAGCGAACTCGCCCGAATAGCGGATTTTAAATTGCAATCACACAGAGTACCGTTTTAGCAAACGATGACTTTGTCAACTTTCGATAAAGAAATATTATATCAATCTTTAATAATATTAAGAAAAGTTTGTAAATTAATTTCTTGTGATTAATAATAATTTGAAAGTTTCTGACACTTAAAATATGTTTTTAAATAAATAATCTATCTATAAAAATAATTCCACAAATTTTAATCGTTTAAAGTGTTCCAATTAAAAATTCTAACAGGCGTACAATTTGCTTGAATTTAATTTAAAATCAATTTTTGCCAAATTTATTTTTATCATTTAAAAAAATACGTCTCAGATTTCTTTTGCAAATTCTGTGCGATGCAACTGTGAAAACTTTGAGAACATTCTCGCGCACGTATTCTCGTACTTGAGCAAAGTTGGTTTTACCGAGATTGAACCCTCTCCGAGCGCGTTTATGTCGTAAATACGATCTCGCAATCGCGTAATAATTGTAACATTTAGCGTTCGCACTTTACACATGCGTGGCGCGTGTATTATAAAATTCAATGCCGTTGCATAGAACAGGACACACGGACGGATAACAACAATTCCATGTAGCCGCGCGCGAAGGAGTCGGTTTCACGTGCCGCACGTGATCCCATGTGCTTTTGCACGTGCCCGTTTATTGCCGATCGACGGCGAGCGCCAAGAGAAAGACGGAGAAGGAAAATCGCGGTTGTTCGCCTTTCTTTTGCGGCGGCATTTAACGCCATCGAAGGGAAAAGTCCGACAACACCTAGTCACGTGCACTCGCCTCGAATCACGCGACCTACCATTCTGTCAATTAACAACCGCGCGCGCGCGCGACGTCTTCTCGACCGCACAGCTTCGCTTGGTTCCACGGCGCAAGGCCGCGAACAAAACTCGTTCGTGTCTCGGCGCGATCAACTTTCGATCTCTCAGAAAAAGCGCGACGCGTACTCTCATAAAAATGAAAGTTCCAGCAATATTGTTACAATTATTCTTACTCGTAAGATTGCACGACACACTCTGTTTGCAAACTTTATAATTAAAAGACGAAGAAATATATTGCGTTTTCATCTAATATGTTATTTTCGACACGAGAAAGTGTGCGCACAAATGAAAGTTATACCCTCTCCGGTGAGAGAACTAAGGTTTCCGCGACATTGACCCTGGAAGTTTCTCAAATCAGCCTTGTATAAGCGCGCAAGTGATCGTTAAAAAGTGATAATGGTCTTCGATGTCAGTCGGAGCTATAGTCGGCAAGGGAAGGAGAAAGTGTGAGAATTCAGGTGAGAAACTTTGCGGTGGTATTATTTTCCCGCAGAAAAAAAAAGGACAGAAAGGCGACGTGTATCCGTCATTGACACTGATTCACTTTCCCGTATCTAGCGCGCCGAGGTAAACTCGTACATATATTTATGACATTCTTCAAATCGAATTAGCGCATGACTAATCCCGGCATAATATTCATGTATTCCGAGGTACGTGTAATGCCTCGCGGTAGATTTTCGATTAGCTGCAGCTTCCGGAGACACCACAGCGTTCAACGCGCTTTCTCCGTTTACAAAATACGAAGAAACGAACGAAACACGCGAATTGAAACGCGTCGAAAGAAAATCACGCGAGTTGTGTTAATATTATTTCTGTGTTTTTTTTTATTCATTTTCTTTTATTTCCTTACACGATTCGCAACGCTGCTGAGAGAACCGAATCGCCTGAAAACGCGAGGTTTTTGTGCGCGTATTTTCTTCAGTCCCTTCGCGTGTTAATGCGATGATTAATGCGTCATTACTCTTCGGAACGTAATTAAAAGCGTCTGAGTAAATAACAGAGTCATAACACGCATTACCACAAAAGTGTGTTGCACCTTACGCAAGTAATTATCGGAGAAACGTGTGCACGCGATAAAGGTAGACTGGCATTATTATATATTAGTAGTAAGTGACCTTCCATTCTTCAGACACGTGACTTTGCCCTAACGCGACAGTTGAAAAGATTTAGCGAGACTTCTTATACGTATGATTAGCAGAATAAAATTTCTGATTCTCAAATTATATATTTCTTGTTGCAGTTTCCTAAAAAAAAAAAAAAAAAACCCTAAAAATAATTTTCATACACTATAATTTTGCAACACTATTCCACGTTTTGTCCGTCACGGCCTTAAAAATATTATTCAAAACATAAATAAACACTCTTAAATACGCGACAGGTTTGTCAAATAAATATTTCAAATAATTATTAGCTAAATCAATTTTTCATCGTTTGCGCGGATTGACGTACTACTAGTAGATCTACTTGTACGATCTATCTTCGTGTAATTAAACAAGCGGTACGATTGTCAGGTTTTCCTGATCTAACGAACAGTTTCAGTGACATTTCAATTGTACAAAAACGAGTAATGACTATGATCGCCGGTTTTATAGAATTGCTTACACGTGTATATCTCGATCCGGCTATAATATAATCGAGATATAAATTCGTCGTTGGGCGCGGTTCGTTTTTTTGGCTCGACTTTCCACGATTCACGATCGCGATTCGATATACTCATGGGATTTTTACGCAGCCATGCAATATCGCCGTTCGCCTCGTTGCTGGCGACAAGTGGGTGAATTTAAACGTCAACTTTCTACCGGACGGTTTCGACCATAATCAATGTTATTAGTATCGACGTACTGCGCGCCCGCTGTCAGACAGATTTACGACAATACGAATTTGTTAATTAAGTCGACGCGGAAAGGACCGCCCGCTTGGAAGACCGCGCCGCGATTCATCGTAATTCGAGCAATTAACGGTGTTAAATTGTCAGTGGCACAAACCGCGTGATTGATTGAGCGGAGCATTTTAAGACCGACTTCGGCTACATGTAACTCCGCTCTGCAGGTTTTGTTTTATCACAAGAAACGACAAATTCTTTCTCGGCAATTATTGAGCGCGCCCTAAAGCCTCCCAGCCCTCTTTCTTCTTTTCCTTTCCACTCTCGATGCGTTTGCGAAATCGATACAAAAGTCTAATTGTTATTCCGCTTACTTTAAACACGGAAACTGCAAAATTATGTATTTCCTGTTATGCAATAAATGTTTAATTCATAATTTACTGTGCATGCGGATTTTAATTACCCTTACGCTTTGGTTTAACTTTCTCAGCGTTCCAAAATGCAAACCTCGTGTCAAAGGGTCAGATGTGCGCCACGTATTTGAGATAACTTGCGAATTCCATGCGGAATTAAATTTTCGTTTGTTCGCGCGAGAACGGTTGTTTATTTTACAGGTACACATGGTGCGCAACGCGATAGAAATTTCCGCAATAGGCGCATTTATTCTCGTTCGCTTTTATGCAGAATTCACGTGCACGAGAGCGTGGCCGACGGTGCACTGTCCGATGCACGTGACGAGCGCTTGCGATATGCTTGCGCGCGGTCACGTGCACCAGTCGCGCGCTAACGTTGTCTCGCTACGATAAGTCAAGTTATGAGATGTGGCATTTATGAATCTCTCGGCGCACTGAACAAGCAGGAAAAAAAAATGATGCTACACAAAATCATTTAGATTGAGTAAAAAAATCGCGTTTTACGAGAACCTTTTATTTTAAATGTTTTAATTCTAACCTGAGTTAACATTATGTTGACACATGGTAATAAGTATATTTTACTGCACTCTGTGATTACGCGAGTAATCTTTTTTTTCTCTTTCTCTCTCTCTCTCTCTTTTTCAGCGAAATTTATTATAGTAATAACTTATCACAATAATGAGATTTTATTATGTCTAAAACGTACACGTAACTTGTTCGTGTAATTTAGATTGCAAGTTTGTTAAAACAACAACGATATATTTTATCTTACGTTACGATGCTACGTGTCGGCGTTACGCTCGCGCGGCAATAAAGTTTCGTCGCGCGTATCGTGGTAAGCAGCGGTAAAATAAGATTAAAAATAACAAAAAAACAAAAAAATAAGCTGCAAGGAATACGGACAAACATGTATCTCTACTTCTTCGGGAGTTTAATTGCGTTACCGGCAGCACAGCGACCGTAATTGGACGGTGTTCGGCGCGCGGTAAAGGCCGTTCGAAATTAAAGCACTGATAATAACCCTTATACCTTAACAGGGAACGGCTTCACGGCAAATCGTAATATACGACG